AATGAAAAAGTGTTGTGTCAGTTTTGTTTACTGAATAAGACCTTCAAATATTATTCGTTTCAATTATTTCATTTGTTAAACTTAAATGCATAGAATTTTTATTATTAGAAAATAATTGGTAATTATGTTTAAACACATTTCTAATATGTTTGAACACATTAATTAGTCAATGGAAACCAATTCCGACACTTTTGATTGATAGTTGGATATATAGATTGACACATAATCTCAAAGTATAAACATAATACTGTATTAACTACACACACTATATTTATTGATTTGTATTTGCTATATAATAAATTTTACATTACAAATTTTTATTAATGGCTTTTGGCATTTGTTATCAGTTTAAAATTAAAAACATTAATTAGCAAATTATTAAGAGCTTTTATTAAATATCACAGAATATTAACAAGTTTTAATATGTTATACAAATTCAAAATATAAAGTTTTAATATTATTCTTTATTTCCTAATCAAATACTTGTTTGTAATAAAATTTATTTTAAAATCATATGATTACATTACTTTAATATATTCTATAATATTTAATTAAAATATGAAAACATAGAAAAATTACTACAGTACAATACTGTCAAGTTAGTACTAATACGGTACTTGGGTACAATACATATCAGTACAATTTAATAAATAATTGATTAAATTTAAGATAAATATTTTTTGTATTATAATTATTTTCTAATCGGACAAAAAATCAGTTAAATTTGAGATATTAATATATAATTATGATTGATTAATGAAATAAAGACTATTGTATGCCTAAAAATTACATGTTATTATTAATATTACTTAAAATTAATGAAAGCATAAATTAAATTACAAATATCAATAAACTTTAAAATGATCACGTGTTTAAGAATTTTAATTTAAAATCCCCATTGTACTATTTATTAAATAACTAATAAGTTAAAAAAGATTGTAACCATATTTGAAGAATAAAATAATTATCAGTAATTAGTTCTAAATTAATGGTATAATTAATTAAATTTCAATTTTAGTTGCAATTTTGTATCATATCTCAAAATGTGATAACAAAGTACAATATAATTATAATTCCGGTAATTCCTTTATTAGACAATAAAACATGTAATACGATATTTTGCTAAATATCTTTAATAAAATAGCCCGGATATAAAGAAAATTAAACTATTTAAAACATACTAATGGACATGCTAAATATATCTAAATAAATGGCCTAAAATAACACTCATTTGTTCTAAAAAAACAAATATAAGTTAGATTAGATGCAATATTATTCATATCTAAACAAATATAAAAATTTAGACTAAATTTAATCAAAATGAAAAAAAGTGAATTCACAAGAAAAGCCCACAGAATGTGTTAAGATAGTAAAAACAACAATAATTGTTATTATTTGTGTGATTATATGATTGAATTTAAATACAAGCACTAAATAAGTCTCACGAAAATAAGTGCATTAAAAGAAGAATCAAAAGTGGAAAATCAGGAAATGTGAACAACAGGTTCAGATAGGATCCGGAGGCACACCATACGAGAAAATAATAGGTCAGTCGACTATATATTTGCAAACCACACATAAATAGTTTTGCCATTACTTTCGTTTTCTTCGTGAAGTCGAAATACAATTTTTGCTTTTTTTCTCTCGAGTTATCGTTGTGTGATATCATTGTTATCCGCGTATGAGATGTTGTTTTATATGGTTTTAGTGGTATTTGTTTTAATGCTATTTTTGCTGACGGTCTCCATATTCACGCTTCGGCTGTATTTTCGCGTCACTTGCGGTGTCTGTAAGAGCGCGAGGGATATGAGTGGGAAAGTAGTAGTTGTGACGGGAGGTAACACTGGGATCGGCAAAGAGTTAGTGCGAGATTTGGCCAAAAGAAACGCCAAAATAATCCTCGGCTGCCGTTCCATCGAGAGGGGCCGGGAGGCGATGCTCGACGTGATGGAGTCGACCGGAAACACCAATATCTACGTCAAGAGGTGTGACATGAGTTCCTTACAGTCGGTGCGAATGTTCTGCGAGGATGTGCTCGACTCGGAGGACAGACTCGATGTGTTGGTGTGTTTCGCGGGTTCCGGCGCTCCCTTTGGCCGCCACCTCACCGAAGATGGCGTGGAGATGCAGTTCGCGACCAACCATTTGGGGCACTTCCTCCTCGTCAACCTACTGCTGGATCTGATGAAGTGTACGCCCAATTCGCGTATTGTCATCACCTCCTCGTCGGCCCATCTCTTGGGTTCAATGGATTTATCAAATATCACGCGATTTGATAAGTATATCAGTCATCCATTCGTCGCCTACTGTAACACCAAATTAGCGAACATTATGTTTATGAAAGAGTTGAGCGAAAGACTAGAGAATACTGGTGTCTGTGTGAACGCATTGCACCCTGGTACTATCTACACGAATGGCATTCGACACAACAAGATCTGGTACATCAAACTGTTCCTAACGTTCCTCAGCTTCCTGTACAACAAGAGCCTCGAAGAGGGCGCACAGACTCTCATCTACCTGTCCGTCTCGGAAGAGGTGGACGGAGTCAGTGGTCAGTACTTCACGGACTGTCGACAAGCGAAATACAATCCACTGGCGGACGACAGTTCCCTGAGGCGGGAGCTGTGGTCAGTGAGCGCACAGTTATGCGATTCGCAGCTCAAGAAAAGCCTTCTTTGAGTGAAACGATCATAATTTTATATATTTATATAGAATTTGGGTTTTATTTGAAAAAATTTTAAAATTGTTATTTATTTATTAAATGAATAATTTTATTGTCTATCAAATGAAATGATAAGTTGTTTGTAGGAATGGCTGGAAATGGTCTTCCATTGAGAAGTATTTGTGTTAATTCGAGAGCTGAGAACTTATTGATGAATGAATGCCATAGACTTATGCCATAAATCCAATGAATGTCTGTCTATAGGATTATAAGATTTGTGTTATGAGTGTAATAAGAGTTTTTAAATATAGTCCAAGAAATAAAGCTAGTGTAGATATACTGTATAATACAAATATCATATTGTATTATACAGTATAACCATTGTGTGTTATAATGATTACAATCATGATCACTTAATTTAAAATTATTTTTTAACTAATATCAGGAAATTGTTGAATGATTGAATTCAACATCTATGAAATTATATGATTACATTAAAATAACATAAACTTTATTTTTGTCAGTTTAAAGCGTTTCCTTAAGTTATTAAAAATTTTTGTTATTATGTTTCTTAAAATTTATTTTCCATATCATGTTTAAATTAAATTTTCAATTCAATCAAAGAGTATTGTAATTTACAATTTATAAATATGAAATAAATTTTGATTTATAAAGAATATAAATTTCTATTATTTCAAAAATTAATATTTATGATTAATATGAATATGATTTTAAAATAAATATACAATATCTTATATAAAATAAAAGATAAAAGAGCTTGTTTTAATTATAATATTAATTATTTGAAAGCATGAGAGGTTTATGTGAAACAATAAATTATAAGATAAATAATTACTTGTTTTATTCCGATTGTTCACAAATGGTAATCACTGAAGATATCACAGTTTATATGACTATTTGACTTACGATAACAGTTTTAAAACAAAGTACACTTTAAGAAATTTCTTATATACTCTAAAAACAAATACAAAACAATCATAAACTCGATATCAGTTTCGGTTTCGTTTATGACATAATGATCAGGCAATTGTTCAAAACTTTCAATTAAGTTATTTAAAACTGACAATAACTCCATTGGAGTGACAAATCACTACTGATTTGATTCACTCTTTCGTTGATTTAGCGAAAGCCATAAACTAGTGAAATGTCCGTCTGATCTGATATATGAATTCATGGCTTTTTTGGCTAAAATGGAGAATATTTGAGCGAATATTTCCTCATTGACCCAACATTTCGCTCAACTTTTACTCTGGTTTTCATTTCAAGTCAAAGGGTCACCAGAATATACCATTGAATATATCATTGAAATAAGGCGTTTAAAGCTAAACTTGATTTCACTCTCTGTTCGTGTGTTTGAGTGTCTCTTTGTATCAAATATTTGTTTTATTATATATTTTATAAGGTATTACAGAATAACAGTATTTACTCTTCAAATATTACTTATCTAAACAAATACTATAAGTAATTATTATAGTATTACTTGTTAATTAGTATAGTTTATTTAATAATAATTAAACAAGTTAGAAATTTTTATTTATTTAAATGTTAGATATTTTTTATTTTAATCATCATAGATAGCTTAACTAATACTGTATTTAATAAAATTAAAATTTTTTATACGTCTAGAAAAATTTTAGACCAAATAGTAGTATAAAATTATTTTATTTAAACAAATGTATTGAGATATTGAGAGACCAAATATGACCTCAAAATATATACGGAAATGCTATATACTATGAATGCAAACTATGTTTTGAAACAAAATGCACTTTAAATTCAGGTTTGGTTCACTTTATGGACAGACATTACATAAAGTATATGGTATATTTTTTGCTTTCACTAACATGTAAATATTTCCCAAATTTGGGTCAACTCTTCACTTTTCCTTTCATAACAGATATTATTTGATAAATTGAATAAATTTTAAATTGCTGTTTTGCTTTCATTAAATCATCTTTTTTGGTTGACTTCAATACAAAAAATATAGGATAGAAATAACAATTTCTTAACAAATCATTTATTATTCTCTAAACCTTATTGTAATAAAATGTTAAGTTTTTTTATCTTAAAAGTTTAATATTTTATTTTTACACTAACTTATAATATAGAAAACATAAAAATGTAGCTTTAAAATATTCAGGTCTTATACAATGATAAGTTATTCTAACAAGAATTAACTTTTAACAAATTAACACATGTTATGAATTAATACTAGTATATAAAGATTGAAAGTTATTATTATTATCAAGTTTTTATTATTATGGGAAAAATACTAATATGAAAAACATTTGTATCTTATTCTCATAGTATTTTAAAACCAATAATATTTAATTGTGAATGTGTTATTAAGTCAAATTAAAGGTTGTGACTACGTCAAAAACTATTTATATTTTATGTTTTATTCCTAAGTAAGCTAATGTACGTGATTTACATAATTATGCACAAATCCATTAAATAATTAAGAATATTATTTTAGATTTGATGAATAATTTTCTAAGAATTTGTCCATAACCATAATAAATCATTATTTTTAATTAAAACCATCTGTTTGTTTGTTTGTTAATACAAATTAATAATATTTTTAAAATATTTTATTCAGAATAAAAGATAATTTTGATAAATACAAATTCACCTTTGTATTATTTCGTAGAAATCCTTACACAATTTATTTTTAAAATATAATTTATCATTTATGACCCAAAGAGCAAATGGCAAACTGTATGTTATGATCAACAAAAATATTGATTTGAGATGATTGGAAATATTGGTTTTTAAACTATTATATCAAATGAAAAACTTTGATTAAATCATAGAAATAATTCCTAGTACTTTGACTCTTGACGTATTCAATCAAATTGAATTATATGTTGTAAACATATTTTGTTAAAAGTAAGTATAAAATTAGACTTTTATAGATATTATATTCGCTTTAATAAACTTAATTGAATGTAACATAATGGCTTATGTTTATTTTCAATCTCGTTGCTATATTTTTGGTTACAATTTTGCGATGAAATAATTTAATTATACTTTCAAAAGCTATGAATTAAAGACGACATAATAAGCCTTTAGTATAAGCGATACACAAAAGTTAATCACATTTTTTGTGTCATAATTAGCCCATAGAAGCGAATCGCACCTACAGTTAGAGTAAACACTTTTTCATGTGTTAATGCATAGACTATGTCCGTAAATATCAGAGGTGTCACCAGAATGTTAATTGAGACAAACCTCCGGAGAGGGAACAACAGAAATATAAGACCAAATAGTTTGTGATTTCTGTGACAAAACAAATTTAGTAAATATAATACAATTATGAAATATGTTTGCATCCAACGGACAGACAGGTTATACTCATTGAGAATTGCTATCAAATAATACCTAAAGAAAGAGGAGGTGGAGAAGAGGGGATGAGACCATTGAATGCATGGATGACATGAATACACCATCAATTGAATCGTCAAAAAGGCGGTCATATTCGCAATGATTACGTCATTAATTCAGTTATTTCTCCTCATTTAAAGTCCAGTAAAAGTCTATATAATAATAGTCGAGAAGTGGTGATCAGTGAAGAACAAATCGCTTCCACGGATATACTCGTAGTCATCAGAAATGGACAAACTTATAGTGATTTTAGTCCTACTCTTTGATTGCTTAATACTAATCACTTCGAGTTCACTGCAAGTGAAGCCGTCGTCCAAA